ATTGAGTGTATGACCATAGAAGGTTTTATTCATTTAAATAGAACAACAATTATTCTTTGACTTAAATGAATAATCGTATTACAATAAACATAATCCAATCATATTCATGCTCAACGCAGACACCAAATAACATTTATTTTAGGTTCAACACTAATCCCGAAGGTAAAGGGACTGTGCGATGGTGATCTTATCAACCTTGGAATCACTTCCAACACACATCATCACCTCGTCCTTAACTAGTCTTTGTTTATTTTGCAACTCCCATTTCGAGTTACTACTCTTGGCAACTGAACCAGTATCAAATACCGAGGGGTTGCTATAAACACTAGTAAAGTACACATCAATAACATGTATATCAAATATACCTTTGTTCACTTTGCCATCCTTCTTATCCGCCAAGTATCTAGGGCAGTTCCACTTCCAGTGAGCATTTCCTTTGCAGTAGAAGCACTCAGTTTCAGGCTTGGGTCTAGCTTTGGGCTTCTTCACGGGGATGACAACTTGTTTGTCATTCTTCTTGAAGTTCCCTTTCTATCCCTTTGACCTTTTCTTGAAACTAGTGGTCTTGTTAAGCATCAACACTTGATGTTTTTCTTGATTTCTACCTTCGCCGATTTTAGCATCATGAAGAGCTCGGGGATCGTTTTCATCATCCCTTGCATATTATAGTTCATCATGAAGTTCCAGTAACTTGGTAATAGTGACTAGAGAACTCTGTTAATCACTATCTTATCTGGAAGATTAACTCCCACTTGATTCAAGCGATTGTAGTACTCAGACATTCTGAGCACATGCTCACTGGTTAGCTATTCTCCTCCATCTTGAAGGCAAAGTATTTGTCAGAGGTCTCATACCTCTCGACTCGGGCATGAGTCTGAAATACCAATTTCAGCTCTTGGAACATCTTATATGCTCCGTGGCGTTCAAAAACGTTTTTGAAGTTCCGATTCTAAGCCGTAAAGCATGGCGCACTAAACTATCAAGTAGTCATCATACCGAGCTTGCCAAACATTCGTAACGTCTGCATCTGCTCCTGCAATAGGTCCGTCACCTAGCGGTGCATCAAGGACATAATTCTTCTTTGCAGCAATGAGGATAATCCTAAGATCACGGATCTAGTCTGTATCATTGCTACTATCATTTTTCAACATAGTTTTTCTCTAGGAACATATCAAAAAAATAAACGGGGAGCTACATCACGAGCTACATCACGGATCTAGTTATGCAAGTACTACCAGCACTAACTTCATGATAATTTAAAGTTCAATTAATCATATTACTTAAGAACTCCCACTTAGATAGACATCACTCTAATCATCTAAGTGATCACGTGATCCATATCAACTAAACCATGTCCGATCATCACGTGAGATGGAGTAGTTTTCAATGGTGAACATCACTATGTTGATCATATCTACTATATGATTCATGCTCGACCTTTCGGTCTCAGTGTTTCGGGGCCGTATCTGCATATGCTAGGCTCGTCAAGTTTAACCCGAGTATTCTGCGTGTGCAAAACTGGCTTGCACCCGTTGTATGTGAACATAGAGCTTATCACACCCGATCATCACGTGGTGTCTTGGCACGATGAACTATCGCAACGGTGCATACTCAAGGAGAACACTTGTACCTTGAAATTTAGTGAGAGATCATCTTATAATGCTACCGCCGTACTAAGAAAAATAAGATGCATAAAGGATAAACATCACATGCAATCAATATAAGTGATATGATATGGCCATCATCTTGTGCCTTTGATATCCATCTCCAAAGCACCGTCATGATCACCATCGTCACCGGCTTCACACCTTGATCTCCATCGAAGCATCGTTGCCGTCTCGCCAACTATTGCTACTACGACTATCGCTACCGCTTAGTGATAAAGTAAAGCAATTACATGGCGGTTGCATTTCATACAATAAAGCGACAACCATATGGCTCCTGCCAGTTGCCGATAACCGTTACAAAACATGATCATCTCATGCAATAATTTATATATCATCACGTCTTGACCATATCACATCACAGCAAGCCCTGCAAAAACAAGTTAGACGTCCTCTACTTTGTTGTTGCAAGTTTTACGTGGCTGCTACGAGCTTCTAGCAAGAACCGTTCTTACCTACGCATCAAAACCACAATGATTTTTCGTCAAGTGTGTTGTTTTAACCTTCAACAAGGACCGGGCGTAGTCACACTCGATTCAACTAAAGTTGGAGAAACAGACACCCACTAGCCACCTGTGTGTGAAGCACGGCAGTAGAACTAGTCTCATGAACGCGGCCATGTAATGTCGGTCTGGGACGCTTCATCCAACAATACCGCCGAATCAAAGTATGATGCTGGTAAGCAGTATGACTATTATGGCCCACAACTCTTTGTGTTCTACTCGTGCATATAACATCTACACATAGGCCTGGCTCGGATGCCACTGTTGGGGAACACGGTAATTTCAAAAAAATCCTACGCACACGCAAGATCCATCTAGGTGATGCATAGCAACGAGCGGGAGAGTGTGTCCACGTACCCTCGTAGACCGAAAGCAGAAGCGTTATGTAATGCGGTTGATGTAGTCGAACGTCTTCGCGATCCAACCGATCATGTACCAAATGCACGGCACCTCCGCGATATGCATACGTTCAGCTCAGTGAAGACCCTCGTACTCTTTATCCAGCTGAGGCCGAGTGAGAGTTTCGTCAGCACGACAGTGTGATGACGGTGATGATGAAGTTACCGACGCAGGGCTTCGCCTAAGCACAACAATGATATGACCGAGGTGGAAATCTGTGGAGGGGGGCATCGCACACGGCTAAGACAACTGTCAACTTGTGTGTCTATGGGGTGCCCACCTCCCCAATATATAAAGGAGGCGAGGAGGGGAGGGCCGGCCCTCTCTATGGCGCGCCCAAGGGGGAGTCCTACTCCCAGTAGGAGTAGGTTTCCCCCCTTTCCCTAGTTGGAGTAGGAGAGGAAGGAAGAGGGAGAAGGAGAGAAGGAAAGGGGGGGCACCCCAATTCGGATTGAGCTTGGGGGGCGCCCTCCACCTTGCCTCCTCCTCCTCTCTCCCACTAAGGCCCAATAAGGCCCATTGACTCCCCGGGGGGTTCCGGTAACCCCTAGTACTCCGGTAAATGCCCGAACTCATCCGAAACCATTCCGGTGTCCAAATGTAGCCTTCCAATATATCGATCTTTATGTCTCGACCATTTCGAGACTCCTCGTCATGTCTGTGATCACATACGGGACTCTGAACAACCTTTGGAACATCAAAGCACATAAACTCATAATACCGATCGACATCGAACGTTAAGCGTGCGGACCCTACGGGTTCGAGAACTATGTAGACATGGCCGAGACTCATCTCCAGTCAATAACCAATAGCGGAACCTGGATGCTCATATTGGTTCCCACATATTCTACGAAGATCTATATCTGTCAAACCGCATAACAACATACGTTGTTCCCTTTGTCATTGGTATGTTACTTGTCCGTGATTCGATCGTCAGTATCTCAATACCTAGTTCAATCTCGTTACCCGCAAGTCTCTTTACTCGTTCCGTAATGCATCATCCCGCAACTAACTCATTAGTCACATTGCCTGCAAGGCTTATAGTGATGTGCATTACCGAGAGGGCCCAAAGATACCTCTCCGACAATCAGAGTGACAAATCCTAATCTCGATCTATGCCAACTCAACAAACACCATCGGAGACATCTGTAGAGCACCTTTATAATCACCCAGTTACATTGTGACGTTTGATAGCACACTAAGTGTTCCTCCGTTATTTGGGAGTTGCATAATCTCATAGTCATAGGAACATGTATAATTTATGAAGAAAGCAATAGCAACAAACTAAACGATTATCATGCTAAGCTAACGAATGGGTCTTGTCAACCACATCATTCTCTAATGATGTGATCCCGTTAATAAAATGACAACTCATGTCTATGGCTAGGAAACTTAACCATCTTTGATTAACGAGCTAGTCAAGTAGAGGCATACTAGTGACCCTCTGTTTGTCTATGTATTCACACATGCACTAAGTTTCCAGTTAATACAATTCTAGCATGAATAATAAACATTTATCATGATATAAGAAAATATAAATAACAACTTTATTATTGCCTCTAGGGCATATTTCCTTCACGCGTACGCATGGTTTGGCTCATGCATGCCTCATACGAGATGGCTGATTTAACTTGCATCGTGAGGCTTGTGGCATGGTGGCTGGCTTGATGAAGTCTGCAGGAACCGGATGGAGGCGGGGATGGTTGTAGGTCCGATCGAAGAAGGGGCAGCGATGACCGGCACAACTTGACGAGCGGACTGAGGCGCGAACAAGGACCATTCCAGGCCACCACGTGTCGCGCGAGGCCGCTAGTAGGAGAAGACGCCGGTGTAGTCGATACCAAAGTCGGAGTAGAGGCGTGTGGGGGTCGATGGCGGCGATGGGCGACGCAAACCGATCAAGTGGATCGGAAAACCAAAAAGTAGACGCCGATCAAAGCGATGGCGAGAGAGAGAAAAACCCAGATCAAAGGATCAGGAAAAAGACTCTCTAGGGCAGCCGGCAACACGGCCGGCGGACGAACCCTAGGTACGGGCTGCGCGGCCCCCGGCGGCGGTCATGGAGGCCGATCATCCCGGGGGCGGCGCGCGGGTGCGGAAGCGGCGGCGGCTAGGGTTTAGGATCGATTAGGCTGATACCATGTTAGAAGGGAGAGAGGGATTTAATGGAATAGTTGGTTCTTTGTATTGTTTGAGCCTCGTGGGCATATATATAGGAGTACAATGATCTACTTGGAATACAAGACAAGCCAGAACAAATTCTAGTCTGTCTCGTCTTTCCTAATAATCAATATACTCAACAGGTAGTTGATGTATGGAGTGAGATGAGATTAGGGGTCGACAGACACAAAGGCTTAGAATGGTCGCCGATGTTAGATAAATATGAGACTACTTGTGAATAGACAATCCGGTTGGCAACCAATTAGCTGGCACGCTACAAGATATAGGGCACCAGAGCCTTGATGCTCGTCGGGAATTCCTCGAACTTGGATTCGTACCATCTCCGGGTGGCGAAGCTTCGGCCGACGAGGTAGGCTGCCGTGCCGAAGGCCATGGCGAGCGCATAAACCGTCTGTGAGATCATCGCGAACCCGAAGAATCCGGTGATCTCGAAGAGGTAGTGCGGGCAGGTGACGAACTCGAAGAGCCCGCCTTTGGGGATCTTGTACCCCGTATCGTCGTCACCTCCCTTCCTGAGTTGCGAGAGGAGGTCCGTTGTAGGGTCAGGTAGTCCGACGGCGAGGTGCTGCGCGTAGATCATGGTGATGGCGCTGAGCAGGTAGCTGGAGGAGATGGCGAGCGCCGTGTTGAGTGGCATGTTCCCACTATACCGATGGATGAAGAGTACCTTGTAAAAGAGCAAATTAAGTAGTGGTTTGAACTAAAACCAGGAAACTTATTTTGAAATGAAGGAAGTACTAGATTGTAATAGAACAATATTCATGCCTCTACTGGAACACGATTTGATTTCAATAAACCTATAAAAAATTGGATATCATCAAATTATTGTGAAGTTTAGTCCTCAGGTTTTTCTTTCAGGTTTCAACTACCATTGAACCTTGTTGAAAACAGAGATTTCTCTTCCTTGATTTTGCTTCCCATTTTTCAGTCAAATGAGAGAAAATATTCAACTCCAATTCAAATAAAGTTTGACGAAATAAGTTTGGATTTTGTTTAAATTTGACTCAAATTCATGTGTCACCACAATGGATTGACCTAAATGCACTAAAATTCCTAATTTTCCTGCCAATTTTCGTCCAAGATGTGAACCCCACTTCTATAACATGTCCGGGTCTAAGAAAAAACACCGTTGAAGTACATGATTTGCAATACTTTTGGTGGCATCTAAAAACCAGTTCTTCATTAGTACTTCCTCTATTTGAAAATACTCCCTCCGTTCCAAAATAGATGACCCAACTTTGTACTAAAGTTAGTACAAAGTTGAGTCATCTATTTTGGAACGGAGGGAGTATTTGTTAAAGAAATGGATATATCTCGATGTATTTTAATTTTATATACATCCATTTTTGTCTAGTTCTCTGATGAGTATTTCGGGACAGAGAGTATATTTTTTTTTTCCGAAAAGAGTGTCTTCAAGAAAGAATTTTTGAAGCAAGACCTTTACCTCGAGGACACGCTTGAGGAAGTGGACGGCGAGGAGCTCGGCGCGCAGCCCTTCCACGGTACCCGGCACGACGAAGGACGCCGCGGCGGCGACTAGCGCCGGCGCGTAGGCCACCAGCATCCCGTCACGGCCCGACAGCTGCACGCCACCGGTGCCTCCCTTCTTCTGCTGCTGTCCAGACACGACGTGCCAGAACTTGGAGTAGGCCATGTGTTGGCTGCGGAGCTCAGAGAGGCCCGCGGACGCCAGCGACGCGAACGACACCACAGACATCGCCGTCACGAAGGCCGACGCCGGCGGCGGGTACAGCAGCGACGACTGCCACATCTCTCTCTCGACCGTCCACTTGGCCTTGGTGTAGGAGCTAGCCCTGGATCGACCCTTGCGTTGCGCATCTCCTTGGTACTCAGGCCGTTGGTTTATGCTCAGGTGGTTGCCCATGAGACGTGGCGTCATGGGAGCCTATGGAGTGAGTTATGATGGAGGATGCATGAGAGACAGCACACGCACACGCGTATCTTTGCTCTACCCACCCGAAACGAACGGCGCGAATTAATTCTGCAGGCAGCATGCATATGCACACACGGCCGTCCTATACATACACGCGCCTTACTACTTTGGTCATTTCCCCGATGTGGTAAAAGACGTGATGTGTATATGTATTATGTGTATATTGTGTATTGGGCTTGTCTCTTAGTTTTTTGTGTAGTTGAGGTCCGTAGCCCATCTTTATACATTATATATACATGTCTATGCACGAAGAGCAATACATCTGCATCATGCAATCATAATCTCATACATGGTATCAGTTTTCTAGGTCTCTTTCTCGCTTCCGTCGGCGCCGCCGCCGCCGCCGCCGCCCGCGGGCCCCGCGCCGGCCGACGCCGCCACCACCCCGCAGCCGCTGCTCGCGCGCCCTCCGCGCTGGCAGCCGCCCGCTACCCGATCCATCCGCCCGCCCACGCGCTCGCTACCCCGAGCCAACCGTGCCCGCTACCCGATCCATCCATACGCCCGCGCGCCCGCTACCCCGAGCCAGCCGCGGGCCCGCTACCCGTCCTTCGCCCGAGCAAGGCGCCTGCTTCGCCCGAGCCAGCCGTCGGATGTGCCTGAGCCGCAGCTGCCGCCCGCGCGATCCACCCGAGCCGCCGCGCGAGTCGTCTGCTGCTACGGCTCCACCCGAGCCATCTGAGTCGCCCGTGCCATCCCATTCCCGCCATGTCGTCCGTCACCTCCTCCGCATCTACCAACTCCAACCCGTTCGCAGACGCCAACCCTCCCGACGTCAACGACATCCACAACCCCAACATCTTCGAGCGGGTGCCGGTTCGTCTCTCGCTGGCGGACTCCTACTACTACACGTGGAAGACGTATTTTTCCCTCGTGTTTCGGGGGTATCACCTCATCGACCACGTGGACGGCACCGTCGACTCAAGCCTCGTCCCTTGAGTTCCAGGACTAGTCCATCATCGACACCATGATCATCCGCTGGTTCTTCCTCACCATCTCGCCGGACCTCTTCCAGACGGTCGTGATGGACGGTGACGATGCCTGCACCGTGTGGACCAAGATGAACGGGCTCTTCATCGACAACCAGCTCTAGCGTCGCGTTTTTTTGCAGCAAGAGTTTTTTGGGTGTCACCAGGACAACACCTCCATCGACGACTATTGTTGCCGCCTGAAGACTCTCGCTGACGACCTCCGCGATTGACGGAAAATCGATGATGACCTACTCCTCAGCACGCTCACCGTCGGGCTCAACGAGGACTTCAGCAACGCTGCAGCGAACCTCAGCCTCATCCCCAACCCGTCCTTCGCCAAGTTCGTTGCGTACCTCCGCTTGGAGGAGCGGCGGATGAAGCAGGTGAAGGCGCGGGCCATCCACACTGCCCTCGCCGCCGGCACCACCCGCGGCGCCTCCAGCCCCCGGCCGCGCCCCACCCGCAGCGCCAGCCGGCGCTGTTCCCGGCGACACCACCGTACCTGGTCACCCAGCAGCCGAGGCTGCTCCTGCTGCCCTATGGGTCGCCTGCCCCTCCCGCTGAATGGCGCCGCAGGGGTCGGCACGGTGGCGGCCGCCGCGGCGGTCAGCAGTAGCAGCCACAGGGCACCGGCCAGCCCCGTCAGCAGCAGCAGTTCTAGGTGCCCCCTTCGCGGGCCTCCGGCTACAACCCGTGGACCGGTGTTTTTCATGCCTACACCATGCCGGTTCCATGGGCTCCTGCACCGACCCTTCTCATGCCGCGCCCGCCGGCGCATCAGGCGTACTACGCGGCTCCGCAGCCGTATGGAGGATACCCACCGCCGCAGCTGAGCGGCGCCTACGGTCTCCCAGCGGCCCCGCCGCCGCCCTCGCCGGCCCTCCCGCTGCCGCCTTGGGATCCGACGCTCCTCATCGCGCAATCATAATCTCATACACCCACGCTTGTTTTAGACGTCTCATCTTACATTCTTAAGAAGTTGATCCCCACTACAAGCAATTCTCTCAACATACACAATGTCCACACCAACATCATGCCACGTCAGCCTTCAGTTTGCAAAAGAGAAATCAATTGTTCTGATTCCCCCTACGGCCACAGTGCCACTGCACCCACGGGTTTATGCAACAAACCTCAGCTGTAAGGGCATACGTACGTACACGTTGCATCTCGGCAACCTGTCCCGTCACGCTGCAACCTGGCCATTGTTTGCACTTGGGCTGCCTGGCCCAATAGTTGGCACGTGATCTGGCTTGCTCGGTCGGCTTTGGTGTTAGCCCATGTAATTACATTATTAGGTCGTTCAGGCTTCATATTCTCAGTTGTAAGTCGTATCGTTGCCTCTCTCTCTACCGCTCGCCACCGCCATTCGCCATGAAAGAAATGGCAGCCAGCAACGCAGATGAAGAGACGCCATTTATTGCCCATGGTGCAGCATTCTTCTAGTGTACAAGATGACCCTCCTATCCCCGTCCTCCACGACCCATTTATAGTAGATCACGAAGCCACTCCCTCGACTTCTAATCCCAACTCCTCCACCTCCTTTCCTTTCCTTCCCTGTCGAGTAAGGCTGGTCATAGTGGAAGTAACATAAATAGTAACATACCTGCCACATAAGCAGAAAAGATGATGTGTCACGTGATTAATGAGGAGAGAGGCAAGTAGAATAACATAATATGTTACCATCACATAGCGCTTTCCAATGCCAAATGAGTCTACTAAGTAATAAATGAAGCTCTATATGTTATCACACTTATGTTACTACCCACTATGAAGGTAGTAACATAGGGTAGTAACATGTGCATATTACTAGTCTATGTTACTCTCCACTATGACTAGCCTAAGGACTCCTTCGGCCCGGCCACGACATCGTCGTCGACCAGCGCGTCGCTAATCGCAAGATTGATCACCACACCTATGACTCGGAGTTCATGGCTTTTATCTCCTTCGTGGATCCCATCCTCAGGTTTTTCCCTGATTTTTTGATTTTATGTATATCCCTATTATAATGTCAGATATTATTCCATCTATGAAAGTGTTTGTTTGTCTTCCTACCATCTATGCCTATTCTTTTGATCTTTTTTGGAATGAGGTTCGGGCCTGAATAACAAATCTACTCGTGCTTAACACTACTGATGTAAACACATGAACTACTCTTCTTTATAATTACAGATTGCTTCTCCAGAGAACCAACACAAAATCTCATGCATGTGTCAAAGGAGAATTGCAGAAATAGCAGGAAAGGGAATTCCCACAATCACAAGAAATTGGTTTGTTTCTTAACCACATTCTGTATTAAGATGCTTAATTCCGTGCAAATATGGTTGTTTCTTCACAGGTTAGTATAGTATGGTCTAATCAATTGAGGTGAATCTTTTCCTTGAAACGCATGGATGCCAGTTCGCTTCACATTTCTTTAGGTTTTTCTGTTTTGATTTCTCAGCAATTATTTATTATTTCAATCTTTTACTGTTATTTATGCTTATGTTGCAGGCGTATGACCAATGGTTGGAAGCACCCAACTGAAACAACTGTGTGAAATGTGTCACAGAGGCTTCTAATTATCGATGTGGCAGTTCAAGGATGGACTTCTATTTTGTCATAACTCATAACAGCAGGTTTCTCCTACAAGTACAGAAATTTAGCATTGATTCCATAATAGGATATATAGGCCTATTATATATTTTTTGTACTTTTTGTTTAACCCTCATCTTCGTGTCAACTAAAAAGAAATCCTAATTTTCAGCACAAACCCATGTATATTTCTTAATTTCTGATTGTAGGATCTTGCTATCACCGCCACGCAAAGCAACTGGGTAGGCAAAGATATATCTCAAAATGTACTAACCCAATTATATTTCTCATTCTTTTTATTTTCTAGATGTGCAACAAGTATCATGTTCTTATATATCGCAATTCACTTTATATTGTGTTTGCTGTCTTATAACTGTTTTATTTTGATGTAGCCTTTCCCTGCTTGACCTACTTCTTGCAAAGTTGATATTAGGATGAGGGTGTCAAATTTTGCATCTTTTGGGCTCGGGCAAACCATCTGCCACTTTTAGCTCTTATTTTTGTGCAGCTATTCTCTCAAAGTGCTGATCACAAGTGTATATTCAGATTTTGACTATGGCATTTGTTTTTTTACTCTGCCATTTATATCATCAGAGCTATATCTAATATACGTTGTTTTCAAAAGCATTCAACTTTTTTACTTTGTGTGATTTATTTACCCTTTTCTTTATCAGTTGATTATTCTTTTCTTATGAATCATCTACGACGCCTTTTTGGATGTGTGTAGGTCATTCGTTAGGTAAGAGCTCATTATGTGTTTATTATCGGTCAGCTTTTTGTTCTCACTATCCTGAAATAAATACTACGTTGTTTTCTTCCTTATTCTATTATTGCAAGTCATTGATCTATGTTGTTCCACTACCCTCCTCACTGTGATCGCGGAGGAAATATTCTTGAAAGCCCGTGAGTGAGCTATAGATGTACGATGCAACAGTACTTTCAGGACATTGCAATTTGAGAAGATGTATCAATGTTAAATTTTCTGCATTGAAATGTGCCAAACTGATAAATATCTCACACTATCATTTATATTTTTTGTTCATATCTCTATAAATCATTTCTTAATTTCCTGCCGCAACGCACGGGGTATCATCTAGTTTTTGTTAGTATATCCTTCCGAGATGGAAAGCTTTACAACCAACATGCAAGGAGAGTTCGTTACGTCATGTGGAGAGCGTGAGAGCACGTCATGAAAAGAGCATGTGGTCTGGTTAGTGGGCGCACCTGATATTCTGAAGAAAAAACTAGACAAAGCTATGCAAAGATTCAAGTCACCTATCGACAGCTGCTATGAGTCCAACAATGATCGCCGGCGACGGTGCAGTGCAGCGGTGAATCTCTCCAGAAGCACAAGCATGCCGAGTGCCGACGACAGGCCAAACGTCAGCCTGAGAGATGCAGGGA